ACATGTAGCCAACGAAGCTTCGGGGCAAAAAATTTGCATTGATATTTTTGTGGTCGATTCATCCGGCTTAGTTGACTTTTTCCCGCCCCTCCCATTTTTTGCGGTGTGCGGCTTTGGTCGTCTTGAGTATGCCCGCTATGCATTTTAAGAGCAATTTTTGGGACTGTGTGTACTGTGCTTTCATACCTTTTTCCTGCTTTAGTTTTTCTTACAATGTTATTTGCGAAGTGGCACATTGAAGCCTCACACGTTTAGCTTCTTAGGATGCTTGTCTCATTAAAATGGACACTGTGATGCACGTTAAAGGCAAAGCAGTGACATGGGAGGTTCAAGGGTCAGCAGCTGGGCTCCGCTTGATCTTTTTCTTTTCTCAAACCGCAGTGGAAAAAGCATGACCTCTCTGTCACCACACTTCGCTCACCAGAAACAAACATGTAAATACAGTAGACCTACAAACCTGCTCAGCTAACTAAACATTTAATATCCTTTATGAGGTTTTATGGTGGCGGCACGGTGATCGACTGGTTAGCACGTCTGCCTCACAGTCAACAGGTGCGGGGTTCAATTGCAGCCTCCATGTGTGGAGTTTGCATGTTCTCCCTGTGCCTGTGTGGGTTTTTTTCGGGTACTCCGGTTTCCTCCCACATTCCAAAAAACATGCATGGCAGGTTAATGGAACACTCCTAAGTGTGAGTATGAATGGCTGTTCGTTTATGTGTGTTCTGCGATTGACTGGCAACCAGTTTAGGGTGTGTCCCGCCGGTTGCCGGAAGACTGCTCCAGCGAAGATAGGCTCCAGCATGCCAGTGACACTCATGAGGATAAGCAAAATGGATGGTTGGTTGGAAGGTTTTATGGCTCAATATGTATTGTGATACAGTGAACGTTGGACAGGAGCCAAAAAAGTCACTTGCTTAACGTTGCATAAACCTGGAAGTGGTTAAAAGCACTTGGGGATGAGGGCTGTGGCAGGATTTGGATATTTTTTTTTTTTGTTTTGTTTTTTTAAATCGGCATTGTCCCTCTGGTTAAACACAGAAAATCCAATTTCATGCCGCTGGTATGTGACAGGCTCTGTGGCTTGGCTGAGTTTTCCAACCTGGCTTTGCTCGTCAGAAGCCTCAAGCAACCATCTGCTCTATCCAAATCTTCATATATTTATATATTTTAATCTTGTGTTTACAAAATGATACCTCATGTTCACAGGGCCACTGGTAGTAAATAGAAGAGATATTCAAGACCACTTTTGTGTCAGACCGATACCAGTATTCCCTCTTGAATAATCACCGATACCGCGGAGCGATACCACTCGTTCTTTTGATACACAACATTTCACTTTACAACATTCCATATCATTGAGATAAAAGATCAGCGCTAGCTACTGGTGAGTAGTACTTAGCGATTATAATTTTTTCCCCCTTAAGTATATTAGTGGCTAGTATCAGCAGCGTTCATGACAATCCCAAACCGATACCTAAGGCTGGTATCAGGTAGCAGTACTCAACTATTCATAGAGATCTGGTAACACCATCCACCCATTCATTTTCCACTGAGCTTGTCCTTATGAGGGTCACGGGTGAGAGGCAGGGTGCATCGTGAACTGGTCGACAGCCACTTACAGTGAAAAAAAAAAAAAAACACTGACACTTCGATTCACATTTAGGGACAACCTAAGACAGTGGAATGATTTTAATAAACTTACAATATGCGTTTTAGCTGTGAAATATACATCCTAAATATTCAACACAAAAGACACAGGTGCTCTCTGCAATATTTGAGGAGAAATTGGAGAACAATAAAGCAGATTTGTTTTAGTTTTGTGCATGACATAGTGAGAGAGAGATATTTTGTGTTTAAAAAAAATGCAACGTTACCAAATTGGCATTCCTACGAGAGCAACGTTTGTTGTCTGCTGACATCTACTGGCCTGGCCTAAAGTTACAACCATATTTGAGTGTCAGAGATGCAGCTCTGCCGCCATCTAGTGGTGGAGAGGAATACAACAAAATGGCCAATGGGAACTGTTTTCGTCTACAAAGCAGATTTGGAGATGGATTGAGCTCATTTTTGATTAATCAAGAGCAATTTAGATTAATACTGTAGGCATGTTGCTACCTTCCTGTGCGCAGTTTGCATGTTTTCCCGGTGCTTACATGTTTTCCCGGTGCTTACATGTTTTCGTTTGTTAGATTCTTTTCATTTTTACCCAATCGTGACAAAATTTCATCTTGATTCTTTCAATGTCTTGTGACACTCAAAATGTCACCACAATTTAGATTTTTTTATTTTTTTTTATTTTTAAAGTACAGTATGTGATTCCTGGTACAATGTAACATTTTTACATGGTGTTTTCAATTAGAAAAAAAATCTAATAAAAATAGCAACTGCTTTGTCACAGTCAACTTCTTAAAAAGTAGTGTGACATTTGGAACATTTTGTTTTATTTTCAAATGAAAAAATGATCACAAATGTCCATTTCTTTTTTTTAAGCTATTTAATTTAAATAGTGTAATGTTGTGTAACATTTACAGTAGCTATTCTATTTTTATTTGAATCATTAGAAATAAAAATAGCCATTATTATGTATCATACAACGATTATCAAATTATTCATCCATCCACGACCCGAACCAGTTATGCTTAATCATAATGGTTAATCATTATTTTTGAGAATCGATTAATTGTTCACTTTTAAAAAATAAATTTGTCCAAATGCTCAAAATTTCAGCTTCTCAACAGTAAATAGTATCCAACTTCTGTAGTGCTCCACGAAATCAGATTTATTCTTTGTGTTGAATGAAACCAAAACATGTGCTTGTACTTTGTGATCAATTTCTACAATTAATTTGAAAACATACCCTGCATTTGAATCAAGGGATGGAAATGAAAACTTTTTTAAAAAGTCTGGTTTGCTTATACAATCGACAAAATAATCAATCATTAAAAGTTGTTAGTTGCAGCCCTAAATTGAAGACTTTACAATTTTGGAGACGAATTTTGCAAGAAACATGAAGGGACAAAAGATTTGCTTTAACGGGCCACATGAAATGATTTGGCTGGACGGATCATCGCTTCTCCCGCAATTACGTTAGCGAGGATAAACTCCAAAAAATGCACGAATACTTTTTATTTACAAATGTACAACCATTGAAACATGTATCAGTTTGTTATTAGAAGTTCCCAAAGTCAAAGATGCACACACACACACACACACACACACACACACACACACACATTTACTGTAAGCAGTAACAAGCATAGATCACAAAAACAGGCTGCACGCATTTCCGTAAAAGTGAACATGCAAGAACATTAACAGGGGATTTTAATTAGAATGACAAATAGTGGTTCATGGCACTGGGAATGCTGGTATGTACAAGGCTAAAACTCCATATGAACCCACTAAACAGTTCATTAAATACACCAGCACAATCAAATGATCCTATCAAAATGACAAAATGACAATGATGCTCAGTTACCTGATTTATGTACGTGAAAGGAGCAATTTCATTTTCAGCGTGCAGGTTGATTTTGAGTGAAGCAACATGTACAGCATCCCAAACAAAGGCTTTATGAAGCAAAGTGAGAAATAGCCCTCTTTCATTGGATCCTTATAGCACAATCTAAGGCAATGTTGCTTTCTCGGGAATTCAGGATTTTGAATGTTTCTGGGCAGTGACAACAAGGCAAAGAAGCTGAGGTTTTGACTCAAAAAGTCAAAAGGCGTGCAGTACAATGCCGCAAAAATGAATGCCATCGGTATTAAGGCCTGTCATCATTCCGTCTTTTATGAATATAACTCAGGAACAAAAATTCAGTATACACAGTTTATACCGTGGATATGAACAAAGACACAACGCAATGCGGTTCGCCGTTTCACGTGTGCCCTTCAAACAATCACAAAACAAATACCAAATCTTTTATTTGGTATTCAAATGGCAAGTGTCACTGCTAATGCACTTCAACTCGACTAGGTCACTCCTAGCCTTTGACTTCCAATCTTTAGAGTCAACGGAGACACAGAGTGGCAGTTGAACATTCCTTCAGGCAAATAATATAAAACAATGGTTCTCAACCGCCGACCCGTGGTCCGGTAGCCATTTTGCACTGGTCTGAGGGCCATTTGGTATCAGGCCGCACAGATATGCAAAGGGGGGAAAAAAATGAACTGTAAATCCCTGTCCATTGCGGGATGCGGGTTCGTGGTCCCGCTCTTTCTAAAAAAAATTTGGAACAATTAATAACGCTTAGGTCGATCTAAAACGTGCGTATTCTGGATATAATTTTATTCATGACCACTAGATGGCGGCACACGACCGACTCTAAGACTGTCAATTTGCAAAACGAATGAAAACCCGGAAGTCACCCGCTCCGATTTTTTGGGGTGCAGTTTGTAACCGTTGTGTTGATCTAAAGCATGGGTGCCCAAACTTTTTTTAACCTCAGATCTAATTTTCAATGAACCAACGTCCCGCGATCTCCCCGTTACCGCGCACGCGCGCATTTTCACACGCATGCCATGATGAGCAACAGCCATAATGTCCCCTAAAATGAACGAAATAGCAAAATAGACACAAGAGTTTGAGTTTGTGAAAAGGAGATCACTGCCTACCTTCGTGGGAGACTTGACGCGGAGGCATGCGACACACTTTTGCAGCCCGTTAACTATCGTAGCGTAACAGGCTTCTCTCTCTCGGCCCTCCAGATTGCCATTCTTTGCGAGTGCCCTCGGTGGATTATACATGAAACGAAATTTGACTGATAACAATAATCAAAACTATATCGCAACAGCTCTGATCGCAAGCTGCAATTGCAGACTACTGAGCGCTAATAACTTCCGGTGACACAGGTCACCCGCCCCCGAGAGTTAAAGATGACCTGCTTTATTTTATTTCATTTTTAAAATATTTTTTTGTGAAAGTGAGACTGATAGGATGATTAGGGTGCAGTGTGCAATAACACAAAAAATATATTACGAATATAGACACACAAATTTTTGTTTGTTTGTTTTCCTCTACACTCCTCGTGATCGACTTCGGTCCAGTACGCGAGTTACCGGTCGATTGCGATCGACGTAATGGGCAGCCTTGATCTTAAGTACATGTACTCTGGCCATAATTTTGTTCATGACCACTAGATGATGGCACACAACCTACTCTGAGACAGTGTAAATTTGAAAGAGTGAAAACCGGTAAATTACCCACACAGCCTTGTTTTTATAGCCTGGGAATCCACACTCTTCGCTGGACCAGGGGACATGACATGACTGCGTTTTTGTTTGACAAGCGCTTAGTTAATGATGACCTGATGCAGCTGGTATTTTTCATTGGTTGTTTGGAAGAGGGCACTCAAAATTGTCGGAGGAAATATGGATATGCTGTTTGACATACACAATAAGAGCGGTTACAACACAGTAGCTGAATTTTTCCTTGCCATGCAGGTTCTCTGACAGTTTCAAAATTGGCCAAGGTGTGAAAAATTGCCATGTCTGTACCCCGTGCTTAGTCATACAAGAAGTAACACTCAGTCAACAAGTAGGTTATGTATACGGCGAGGTGGCCACTTCTCTTGGCAGGTTGAGCTGAACCTCTCCTCCCGAGACAGCTGAGTAGACCACGCCAATAGAACCGGGTGAGCCGTTGTTGTCCATGGTGAAGAGCTTGGCGGTACCAGGCAGGGACGCACCAGGAGCCTCTTTTTCCGGGCTCAATCCCCGGGACGACGCGGGGGAGGACGTGGGGCTGAGCTGCACGGCCGTCGTGTCCTGCAGCGTATGCTCGCTGGTCTCTATCTCGAACGCCGCCCCGCCTGCCAGCCCGCCGTTCCCGATCAGGTTCATGCCTCGCCCGCCCGTCTTGGCCCCGCGCGAGCTGTGAGGAGGAGGAAGGCGGCTACACACGCAACAAGCCCCAAAAAAGGAGAAGGCCACCAGCAGCAGGATGGGTCCGATGATGATGGAAGGGTTGGCAGAAGGCACCAGGGTCCGGAAGGCGAACACTCCCACCAGGGTGATGTTGAGTCCGGCCAGCATGATGCACAGGCCGCAGGCGCAGCACAGGGCCGGAGAGGGTAGGCCGTGAGGACGAGATGCTCGCCGCTTTTTCTCCTTGGGTTGCTCCTTCTTGGACACAGCGCCGCCTGCGTTTCTATCGGTGATGACCATGGTGTCGCCTCTGGGATTCCGCTCGCTTCTTCACACCAATATCTTCACCATTGTCCTCTTTTACAAACAAATGTGCCCTTCGTGAGTCCAACACCTTCGTCTGTAAATGACAATACATGACGAGGGTCAAATATCGGGTCATGTGCAGGGATAAAAGACCGTTAAACTCTGGTAAGGCAAGGCACAACAGCTTTATTTATAGAGCCCATTTCATACACAAGGTAACTCAATGTGCTTCACACAATTAAAAAAAGATTTCGAACAATTTACAAACAAAAGAATTGAAGACATTTAACAGCAAAGAAATCCATCCATTTTCCGATCCGCTTAGGCGTAGAAAAAAAAGTAGTGTGTTTCCGGTAACCCGACCGACCGAGAATTTCTACGTCGAACAAAAACTTTACGGTCGGCATTTTTTTCAAACAACCCTCTACATTTTTGTGTAGAGGGTTTACATCGGTGCAAACTCTCGCGATATTCACGTTGCGCGCGTGCGTCGTTTGCCCTGTCGTCTGTCAACAACATTGAAACATGGCGGCGGCCGCGATCTCTGACGACAGTTTAAACCGCGTTTTCTGTGTTACAGTCGCATGCTCGCACCGTAATGTTAAGAGAATAGCATCCATTGATGTGTCGAAAAAAATTCAGCGAACTATTTGATGAACACCACGGGCCGAGTAAAAACCGAGGGTGGAGGAGGACGGAGGAGGAGGCGGCGGCGCGCCCCGGCCCCCCGAGCCCGGGGCGGGGTGAAAACTACATAGGTGGCGGTGGCAGCGCCGGCCGCGGAGCGGCGGGTTCAATGTCTTCTTGTTTTATGTTTTATGGTTATTTTGTTTAAATTTTTGATGGGGAAAAAAATAAATAAAAATTAAAAAAAAAAAACTTTTCTCCGACCTACCGACCCTATGCTGAAATTTCATGTTACCGGAAACACACTATCTTTTTTGTTTGGCCTTATCCTCACAAGAGTCACAGCGGGTGCTGGAGCCGATCCCAGCCGTCTTCGGGCAGAAGGCGGGGGACACCCTGCACCAGTTGCT